CCTGCTGTCCCTGCCTGTCCCTGCCTGTCCCTGCCTGTCCCTGCCTGTCCCTGCTGTCCCTGCCTGTCCCTGCCTGTCCCTGCCTGTTCCTGCTGGCCCTGCTGGCCCTCAGTCCCAGGTCAGCAGTGCAGGAGGACGGGCGAGCAGCGGGCGAGCCCTGGGCAGAGCAGTGTCCCAGCCCTGGCAGCCACCCAGGCAAGCCCTGAACACCCACGGAGCAGGGGCCACCTGTGACAGCTTTTGCTGGGACCTCTGGACAAACAGCAGGGACAGTAACTGCACAGAGCAGCCAGACTTGGACACAGTTAACTCTGGCTGGGATGGAAGGGGAAAAGCAGGGGCCCCGCTATCAAAACAGAAGGAATAAAAACAAGTGACAGTCATTTTTCTGAGTAGAGACCTTTTATACGCCTTTACCAAGTATTGCCACACACACCTGGCACTGCCAGCTCAGGGAGGAAAGGCTGGCAGGGGCTCAGGCAGGAGAGCTGCAGCCAGGACTGTGGGGTGAGGCTGCTGGGTTCTCTCTGCCAGCTGTGGGGAAGTTCAGTGCAGGCTGGCACGTGCTGGCACGACAGGACAACACAGAGCTGCTCTGCAATCCTTCTGTGAGGGCCCCGCCTCTGCCAGCTGCAGCAGAGGAGCTGCAGGGATGGGTGTGCATGGAGGAGCTGCAGGGATGGGTGTGCATGGAGGAGCTGCAGGGATGGGTGTGCATGGAGGAGCTGCAGGGATGGGTGTGCATGGAGGAGCTGCAGGGATGGGTGTGCATGGAGGAGCTGCAGGGATGGGTGTGCATGGAGGAGCTGCAGGGATGGGTGTGCATGGAGGAGCTGCAGGGATGGGTGTGCATGGAGGAGCTGCAGGGATGGGTGTGCATGGAGGAGCTGCAGGGATGGGTGTGCATGGAGGAGGAACAGGGATGGGTGTGCATGGAGGAGGAACAGGGATGGGTGTGCATGGAGGAGGAACAGGGATGGGTGTGCATGGAGGAGGTCCCCGACATTTGCTGGAGCAGATGTCCCTTAGTGCCAGGAAAACGCTGGCATGGAGCTTCCCCTGCTCCAGGGGATCCCCTCATTGCCCTGACGTGTCAGTACATCTCCATCCCAAGCGTTCATCCCTCCAAGCCCGGCAGAGGAACAGCCTGCCCGGAGAGCTCTGCTCCTCCCTCTGAGGGCTGCTGGCTGCTCTGTGACGGGTGCCCGCGGTCCCTGTGCCTCTCCTGGCGGACAGGCAGCCACAGGGACAGGCTGCACACCCCAGCAGCAGCACAACAACGGGTCTGGATGGCTGTCCTTCACCTCCGAGTTCCTTGGGAACCCCTCCGGGTTAAGAGGAAGGAAAAATATGTTTAAAGAGCAGAGCAGGCAAGGAGGAAAGCTGTCTCCCCTTTCCTGAGAAAACTCTCTGCACCCCTGGGTGGCACCTGCTCGCCTGCCAAGGCACAACAGCTTGCACAACAGGAGCAAAGTGGGGAGAGGGTGACTCAAAGCCTCTTCCCCTTTTCCTGCTCACCGTCACCCCACTGAGTGCCTGAGAGCAAAGTGCCTTTCGGTTCCTCCAGCAGCCCTTCCTGACAGTCCTGAAACCCAGGGACAGAGACCCAGGGACAGGGACCCAGGGACAGAGACCCAGGGACAGGGACCCAGGGACAGAGACCCAGGGACTGAGACCCAGGGACAGGGACCCAGGGACAGAGACCCAGGGACAGGGACCCAGGGACAGAGACCCAGGGACAGGGACCCAGGGACAGAGACCCAGGGACAGGGACACAGGGACAGGGACACAGGGACTGAGACCCAGGGACAGGGACACAGGGACAGAGACCCAGGGACAGGGACCCAGGGACAGGGACACAGGGACAGGGACCCAGGGACAGGGACACAGGGACAGGGACACAGGGACTCGTCTGCAGACAATCTGGGAGCAGAAATGAACGACACCTCCCATCAGAGCACAACGCAGGATCCTGGTGTGAACTGACCCAGCAGCCCCATTACCCTCCTGTGGTACACACCCTACACCCTGAGACACCCTGACACACACCCTGAGACACCCTGACACACACCCTGACACACCCTGACACACACCCTGACACACACCCTACACCCTGAGACACCCTGACACACACCCTGAGACACCCTGAGACACACCCTGACACACACCCTACACCCTGAGATGCACTCTACACCCTGACACACCCTGACACACACCGTGACACACACCCTACACCCTCACACACACCCTGACACACCCCACCCCACACCAGACACCCCCACTCCCACCTGCCCCTCCCAGCAGGGCTCGGAGCTGCTCGGAACCGGGCCAGAGGTGGAGCAGAGCCCGGCAGGGCTCACCCACGGCCGGGGAGGTGACACCACAGCTGGGGAGGTGACAGCACAACCGGGGAGGTGACAGCACAACCGGGAAGGTGACACCAGGTGGGGAGGTGACAGCACAGGCGAAGAAGTGACACCACAGGCGGGGAGGTGACAGCACAACCAGGGAGGTGACACCAGCCGGGGAGGTGACACCAGCCGGGGAGGTGACACCAGCCGGGGAGGTGACAGCACGCCCTGCCCCAGCCCCTCCCCGGCGCTGATCCTGTCTCGGGGCTGCAGTGATGGCGAGCCCTCCTCTCGAGCAGGTTGCCCTGTCCAGCCTGGCCTTCCTGCAGGAACTCCCATCCCTCGGAGGCTGCAGGGATTCTGCCCACAGCCACCTCTCCCGGACACAAGGAAGGAGTGTCCCCTCCCGTGTGGGACACAAGCCCTCGGGGCTCAGGAGCTGGCTCCTCTGCCCAGCTGCCAAGTGCCACGGGGCCTTCTGGGGAGCTGATTTACTCGGTAAGAGGAAATTGAAGAATTTGCCGTCTCTCTGACTCCCAGGCCCTGGCCGGAGCGGTGTCTCCGCAGGTGACAGCCCCCAGTTCTGCTGCCGGGGCCGGGGAGCGGCATCGGGGGCCTCAGGGGCTGCTCCATCCCAGTGTGCTGGAAGGGAATGAGTGCCCAGAGACAGGAATTCCTCCTGAGGAGCAGCAGGCGGCTCTCCTGTGCCACAGACACCCCGGCCGCGGCCAGGGGAGGGCAGGCGATGCTCACCGAGGAGCCCCCGGCTGCTGCTGCTGCTCCGTCGGGAGCCCCATGGCCAGCACAGTGACAGTGCCACCTCCCTGGACACGTGCAGGGACCAGACAGCCCCCAAGGAATTCCTGTCATACAAAGGTCTTTTGAAGGAGAAAACAAACAGACAAACAAAAATCCCAAAAAACCACAGTATCCTTCCAAAGGCACTGAAGTTTCTTGGGTCACAGCACGGCAGATTTCATTTTGACATGCCCGAAGTTACAATGAAGCCCGATTTAAATTCCCAGACTGTGGCTGTGTCAGGGGAATTCTCAAGCACGTGCACTCGAGAGCTGAGGCGCTCAGGGGAGCTGGTCCCACCCAGATGTTCACCACTGAAAATCTCAACAGCTGGAACAGCACAACCAGGGGGTCTCGTATGAAAGGGGGCTCGGTGGGAGCTCACACTGCCGTGGGTGCAACAGCCACCAGTGAACTTTCTACAGCTTCAGCCAGCCTCAAGCCTTCTCCCCTCTCACCAT